TGTTCCCCCAAATCAACTGAATAAGAGTATGACGAGAATTGTCTCCCCCAATCTACTGAATAAGAGTATGACGAGAATTGTCTCCCCCAATCTACTTGATAAGAGTATGACGAGAATTGTTCCCCCCCTCCATTTCCACACGAAACTGTAACTTCGTTGACAATACTGTTTTAACAAATTGAAACAGAAAATGTTATTTAAAATGTTTTTCGATATATATTCTAATAGGTATCCTATAAAAGTCTTTAATAGATAAGAAATCATGCCATTGCAATAATATAAATGGGCAAATGAAACTATACATGGTCTAAATTCTAAAATCTAAAAATGTCTAAAGCTCTTACAACGCATTAGCACTACAGGTTAAGCGTAGAGAGCGTCTGAACCGAATTCAGAGCGGCTCCGCCGCGGCGCCTCACCTTAAGCATTTTGAACACTGTATTTGAATGAATACCCTGAGAAGAAATCACTTGCTTTCTGCTCCAGATTGCTGATTTCGCTGTTTCGCTCGTCCTTTTATATACCTTAAGACCTAAAGAGGTCAACTTGTTATCAATAAATGAAGAGGAAAGAAGCAAATAAAAAAAAAATCAAATCAGTTAAATCGATAACCTGACATGGATTTCATCAACTACATTAGAGAATTTTAGCAACTTTCACAAATGACCTCAAAAAAATACATTTGCTTATTTTGTATTCCAAGCAGTCAAGAAGACTGGTTACGCCCTATCTTACACTGTAACTTAAACTATGTGGTTTAACGGTGAGATGGAGAGCTTATAAGTCTAAAATCCGGGGTTCGATTACTTAACAACAAACAATAAACTGAATAACTGTTTGATCAACTTACCCTCGCGAAAAGCGCCCCAGCGGCACAGTGGTATGTCTGCGGACTTACAACGCTAGAATCCGGGTTTCGATACCCATGGTGGGCAGAGCACAGATAGCCCATTGTGTAGCTCTGTGCTTAATTATAAACAAACAAACTCTCGCGAAAAGAACTCTATTTGGCAATATTACTTTGACAGTAGCCGTGTGTTGCCAAATATTAACTGTCAACACAATTATAATTCAATATTACTTTGACAGTAGCCGTGTGTTGCCAAATATTAACTGTCAACACAATTATAATTCAATATTACTTTGACAGTAGCCGTGTGTTGCCAAATATTAAC